ATTTTGGGAAAATGGCCGAGGTGGGGTAATGAAAGAGTGACCATAGATGCATGTAACACCGTGAGCTAAAGCCGACTACTGTCATATTGCTCAGGTCGGCAGCGCACAGAGCCCAACGTTCGCCATGAGGACGAACAACTTCGACAATTACCTCAAATACTTTGGTGTTGGGTTTATGATAGACTTCCTGGGGAACCACAGAGACTTACAGAACTGGCAACAGATGTTCCGACGATCAGCACACTATGTTGAAGACTAGACTCGTGCAAATCAACGCCGGCTGGTTGAGACGTAAACTCTTAATAATGGCGTTCGTAAGCAGAACCCATCACCCAATCCGTTAAGACAATTGCGTTTTTTGACTCGCCTGATGCCTCTCAGACGCAAGCGCACACTCACGCGAGTGAGATGAGCTACGATCACGTCATCCCTTCCGTGTGTACTATTTAAACCTCACAAAATTGCCATGAATGTATGATGGTTTCGGTGTCAATGGAATAGCATGCCGGCGGCTGTTTTACAAAGGGATGAAGCCTGGCCTTAGCAACAACCGTTGTACCGTCAAGTCGAGTGTCGATGGCAGAGATAGAGAAGACGTAGCCGGTTGGTAGAACCGTCTAACTGCTGAACACAGTTCACCTGAAGGTCAGTAAAGAATATCATGTGTCAAAATTATGCATTCGGTAGTAGTTATTCGTTTTGACCTTGGCGGCATGGACAACATCCACATGCCACTTAGTTGAACGCAGGACATTCAAAGAAACAAAACTGTTCCAATATTTCCTACGCCTCTGGGTCAACAGGCAGGCACCGCCGTCGGCGCCGAATTCGATAAAAGCACTTCTAGCACGGCGAAAGTGAACAGCCGTCAGTTAGTGCGAAATAGTACATACACGACTACTCACTCATAATGAGAAGCGTATTTATATAATTACCGTATGTGGCTCATAGGCAATGCCAATGAGACAAGCCATTAGATGGGACAACATCCAAAAAACAGCAGACAGTGAAAGGAACTCAAACCAGACCAAAAAATGGAGATCGGGCAGTATGTGTGCAAAGCAAAAAAACAGGCAAGTCGGAAACATTACCCACCGCCTCCTTCTCGGCTTCCAAAGACTCAACAGCCGGCTTAGTCTCTCGCCAAAACTGCTGAACGTAGAGTCGTTCGGGCGTAGTCTCCTCCTCCACCTTACGGTGGGCTGCCTCTAGGACCTGCAGATCACCAAAAATGGCCGCCTGACGCTGACTAAAGGAGCTGCTAGAGCCCTGTAGGGCAAAGCCACCACCACCGCCGCCAGCCGAAAGTTCACTGCTCTCTGACATCTGGTAAAGTAGGAGGGCGCTGACAGTCGAAAAAAAGAACAGCGATTTAGAATAAAACAACAAAAAGGGCTGGACAAGCTAGGGGGATATCAAAATAGGATGAACAGCCGAATAAGATCGAAAAGAACTAAGTGAAAGCTGATAAGCAGACATCACCGATATATTTTGTCTTCTTGAAAGTCCGGCATACTAAGCTGCTGTTCAGCTTCCTTCTTCGATGCCCACTGCTTCGAGGGCATGCCAAATCGCAGAGAGTGTTTTTTTACTTCTCACTGACCGGAAGAAACAAGTGACCGACTTGCCCGCGCGCGAATACACGCGCGTCCAAATAGTCGCGGCTGCCAAAAGGCTACTTGAACACACAACCCTCTCGGGCGATGCAGCAGACACCTCTTCGGCTATGCAGCACCAGTCTGGTTTCCCACAATCAGCTCCCCCAGCCTCCGCCGCCTTCAGTCAGCACAGAACAGTGCCCTCCGCACGATCAC